CGGGAAGCTCTCAGAACGTAGCTGGACGGCTGAAGCTTCGCTTTCTGTAGCCTGGTCATTTATCGCGGCGGTACTGTCGGTCTTTTTTGCAAGCCTTGTAATTGTATAGACAACCTTTCTAAGTAGACTTGAGGTCGTTTTATTCCCTGTCTCTTTGTTGGGCTGAAGTTGAACCGAGTGTTAGCTTCGCTAGGAACAGTTGGACGGCTAAGATATTTTCACCCCCCCACGAATTTTTTCAGTGGGCATTCCTGTTTCATTAGGCCCGGCCAAAAAATAGTCGCTTTCTTTGTCATTATCGGGTTGGTACTGAAGGGATAGAGATTACCTTTAGGAAGCGGTCTTCGAAAATAAGATTTTTCATGGATCCGATCGAAAATTAGGATGGATCCAATGTCCGCGAGTTTTTCTGTCTGCGTTTCCTCCGTAATGGGTGCGAGGATTTGTGTTGTTGTAGTGGGTAACTTGTCCAGCCATAAGCTCCCGCATAATGTTCTCGGACATTTTGTTGTCACCCAGTAAGGTTCGCATGTGCCTCAATAACTGCGATGGGGTGCGGTCTCCTAATTCAACCTGTGTGAAAAGGTTGCGTAGCATGGCTTCGTTCGAGGCACCGGTCCGTTTTAAAATTGCTTCCTTGAGTCTATCGTACGGGTTGTCATCCGGGACATTTTCCAGTAAATCCATTACTTCCTCGACGATGTCTGCTGGCAGTTTTTCCACTAAGTAACAATACCGGGTTCTCTGGGAGGTGATTCGCTTCGCATCAAATAATGCCTGTATTTGAACGAACCAGGACTTAGTGTTAGTCGTGTTGAAAGCCGGGATATTCAACGATAGTGTGGCGAGAGGGGTTTCCGAAGATTGTGATTCCATTGTGTCCTTCCTCTTCGTTTTGTTTGTTTTTTTAAATGTAGTGTCTCAGGTCGGGGTCACCAGTTTGTAGAGGGTGCAAAGAAGTCCCTCAAACAAATAATAAAAAGAAAATACACTACAAATAAAGTAAAATAAACTTTTGTTTATTTTTGTAAATAATTATTTTTTTCCTTGTACAAAAATGAAATTGTCCGTAAAGCTGTGGAAGAAAAAGAGAAAGAAAGGAACTGGGAATGTGAGAGGGAAAGGTAGGACTATGTGTAGCGAGCGAGATGAGAGAAAGAGAGGGTGAAAGAATGTTCACTGATACGTGATACTGCCTGTTGTGTGAACCGCTGAATCCTTTCGGTGTGTGTGTGCTCGAAACTGTCCGTGTCGCTTTGATGTCAGCTTGTCGCTGTTCTCTCTCCGTCCTGATGAGAGTTTCTACCTTCCTTATATAAGAATGATGAGGCTCCGGGGAGATTAAGAAATGGGTTTCTTATGTCGAGCCCTGATTGGTCAATAAATCCTATTTTTGACCACGTGGTGTGCTTTTCACTACGTCCGAACTTTTGGGTGCGCCGTCCTTGTTTTTGACCCCACAGGGCATGGTAAGGAATGAATTCCCGCGCAATTGTATTTTTTGATACACGTGGTATGAATTAATTTTTATTGTGTGTATGTGTGTGTGGAAAAATAAGAAACAGCACAGAAGTCATTATGATTATTACAATTATAATGACTTCTGCTACTGCTTACGGTCAAATCATGCTAAAACACCGATTCTAGTTTGATCACCGAAGTTAAGACGTGTCGAACCCGGTCACTACTTAAATGGGGGACCGCTTGGGAACACCTGATCCTGTAATCGACCTCCGATTAATCAATTAATCTACCGCTACTCCTGATCAGGCCATTAAGGAAGGTGAAGAAGTTATGTACACATTTCTGTTACCCTTTGGAAACTTATTTCGACACTATATACTTTAAACACGCAGTGCGTGCAAAAAATTACACAAAATAAACACCAAAAACAATACACTGGTTACCGTCAACTTACCCTTTGTCAAACCTAGAAATAAACTATTCGTAAGTTTTGCTTAATACTTGACCCAAATCTCAAGTGTAATGCTACTGACAATTCAGATATGCTAAGCAGAAGCCAGTGAAAGTTCTCGATTTAATAATGTAAGGAAATTTCGTAAACTGAAGTTGCACCGATAATAACAAATCTCTAACCAACACAACACAATTTTATTACAGTATATTGTTAAAACAGTTCTATTTTATTGTTAATTATTCTTAACAATAGCTTACTGTGTCAAATTTATAAATTAAGCTTTATCCTATGTATGTAACGTTGTATATACAAGATTCAGTACTCTACGTGGTTTCTTCGTTACACGCGCAAATACACTTGGGAAAGGTATGAATCAACCCCCCTCTCTATAGGTTAAATATTAGGACTTGTATCTGGAAAAATCATTGTTATCTTCTATTTAATGCAATATTAACTCGCCAAAAAAAGGAATTATTCTTAGAATCCAAAATATGCTTCGGTTTTAAATAACCTGAAACGGGCAGATAAGCCGTAAAAAACAAATCAATCAAACAATCTCCGTGGTTTCAGGCAACATCTTCTTCGTGTAAGGTGGGTGCTATTGCAAATATAATAATTATTGGAATGGTTGGTAGAGATGAATTTGTTTTACTATCCCAACATAAACATTACCGCATCATCGATATGGTAAAAGTTTTTTCCTGGATGAAAGCAGGCAAAGACATGTGTATATGCTTGAGAGAAAACCACTTTAAATACATATTTACAAAACTTGTATGCTACAATATACAATATTTGATCATGCAGCGAGTCGAATACATATTAGCAGATATAGATAATAGAATTGAGTTTTGATTTGGTCGTGCATTCTGTCTGTGATGTGGCTCATCATAAAAAGGTAAGAGAACACGGAAGTCTGGCGTGTAACCATCTCGAGAAACTAACATAAATTGTTCAGGCAGCATAAATTTCACGCTTATAGCCAGACTGTCATATAACGCATTTCTTGCTCTTTAAAATGCGTATAAATTACCCTTGAGTCACATGCAAATAATTAAAATTTGTAACGATCCATAATCATAATTTTTCCATGCCCCATATATAAAGATCCCACGAAAGTAGAACTAATAATGGTCTGAAGATCGCTTGAGGCTTGAAACTAACTGTCACCATGCAGTGTTCTTTTATTATGTTCACACTATCTATATCACACATTATTTTAATGAGTACACGTATTTGAGTTGTTATCCCTGTAATTTTTTTCTGAAACATTGATACTAATAATAACGGATCGAGATGGAGAAATTCAACTAAAGAAAAATCAGCCTCCCGGTAGGTGCTATGTTGTATCCTCCATTTTTTTCTATCAGAGAAACCAAACATAGCCGAAGCGTGTATCACGCATGGCACATAACTGACTGGCCATAACAGAGAGTTCATCTGAAAATTACCATGAAAATATTTATAGAAAAGGAACAGGGAAGCTACATTACGGTGATGGGAAAGTGACTGAAAACGAGACGCCAGATCAGGACCAATAATATTGTTGATTCATCTTTGAATTTTATGAAGGATCTAAATATATAGCAAAATAATGAACTGGATATAAAGTCCCAAACTTTCCTATAATTAAAATACTTTTGGCCAGTTAGCAGCATTTGCGAACTTGTAAGCAAGAACAGAATTGAAATTAGAATAGAAATAATAAATAATGTGTGAATGTAAAAATTAAAAGATAAAAAGTCACATCAAGAAAAAAACTTAAAAAATAAAATAAAGAAATTATGCAAACGAATACACATGAGACCTCTATTTGGCTAGATCATGTCGTGTTAGATTCGTCTGCTGTGGAGGCGTTGCTGAAGAGAAGTTACTGTTAAAACTTTATGGCCTTTTCCTCTTAAGGGCTAGATGAGTGGAGATCACACCGATCTGATTCATGCTTATCAACAAGTCAATTTCTACATATTTTAATAAAAATTGAACAAACACAATGCACAAAACTTTTCAATAAATAAAATAGCTAAATAATAAACGTTTCTTTCTATATATTTTCCCCATTTATTGATCGGATTTCTCATTTTCTGATTTAGTAGAGATCTTGGAGCAGTAATTCAGTGCAAGGAAGATAATTATTATACAGCAAAAATTCAGTGACAGGACCCAAAGAGTTGTGTGTTCAATACCTGGTTAAGGCAGTGGAGAATATGGAGAGATGATTTAACAGGAAATGTCTGTTAACTGACATCCATTAAACATGGCACGTGGAACTAGAACAGTCTACGAAATAAAGGGTTCCAACCACCTGAAGAAGGCAGGAGCGTAAAACGTCCGAAACGTTGTGATAAATATGGCAACAAAGATGAAGACAATAGTCCGAATAATGTAAATAGTGAAGTGCCGACATATTAACAAATATTTACTTTGTTACTTTAATAAAAATATAACATAATAAATCAATTCAAATATTAATTAATAATACAACATAAAAATTAATAATACAAATTAACAAATATTACAATTTAATTAATAATATACAGACTAGTTTCGTGCGCATGTTTAGACGTAGTAACGTCAACAATGCCCAGTCTAATGAAATCCTAACGGATGAAACGCGTCACAAAATCTTTATGTTATATATATATATATATATATATATATATATATATATATATATATATATATATATATATATGAGATAACGATATATATTTTTATATATCAAGAACAGTATTGGGGAACTTTTATGAAAAATAAAAACACTTAAGCCCATCAACCTTTTTTCCTTGTTATTCGTACCAATTTTTGTAGTGTGGAATTTGTTCTTTTTAAAATGCTCTCCAGTCATCTTATTACTTTGTGAAACTAACTTAAACTATTTCATTTCTACCACTGAATTCTCTATTTCGGGCTATATTCCACTTAATCGAAAAGATTCTAAGGTACATATGCATGGTCTCGGTATCTATGTTTGGAAAAATCTCCCAATGGCAATGGAATTGTCTCTTGGGTTCTTTCGATTTTTACTATTAAACTCAGTTATCTCTTCTTCCTTTATCGTTCTCCTTCATCTCAGGTGCTTACGACCACATAGCATTGAAACACCTGCTCCCGTACGATCACTGAAGTTAAGAAAGTAGAGCCTGTTTAGTATCTAGATGAGTGATCGCTTGAGAATAACAAGTGCTGTAAGCTTGGATATCAGAGGAGTGTAATGGATAATTATTCGGAATTATTAATCGAAGAAACGATCTCCAATTTCAGTTGGGTTCGTTATATTCACTTATATTACATGCAAATACCATTTTATCCCCCAGTTATGGATTAATTAGTAAAACTTGTATCACTAAATCCTTATTATCTCCAAAAACAATTCTTACAATCTAAAACTATTTTCGGTTTTAAATAACTTTCAAAGGGTTGATAAGCCGTAGAAAACTAATCAACCAACCTTCTTCTTGCGACTGTAGTTTGTTAGAGAAAATATCTGACAGTATAGAAATGTTTCTCTCTCTTCATTTATCTACAAATATCTTTGTATTTGGCGATTTCAGTGTTCACCATGTCAAGTAACTTCATCATTTCAATACCACTGATATTGCCGGTATTCAGACTTTGGATTTTTCAGTTGTTCAATCTCTCAATCAAATAATAGATTTCCCTACATGTTTCCCTAATAATTCTGGCTGACACGCTTCCTTACTCAATTTGTTTCTTATCCCCTCTCTGGACTTTTGTCGTGCTTTGCAACTCTCTCATCTTGGCAGTTCGGACTATGTGTAGTGTCTGTAGATATTTCTCTTTGCACGTTTATTAGGCATTAACCCCCTATTCATAAGACATCATTTTGTTATAAACACACCGATTAAGATAAATTTATGCATAGTTCTAGTTTGGTAACTAGGTCCCATCATTTTACTGTATAAATAGCAAGATGTAACCATAAGTTTTATTCTAAGTTACTTCTATCGCCCTTGGAACTCTCTTCCGGCTTCTTTCTTTAATGTCAACGATGATTTAAATGCAACATCAATGGCCATCTTCTATCCTTCTGAACCCTCTTCATTTATTGTGCTTTCTCCTCATTTTCTCGTTTTCTTTCACTCTCAATAACTCATTTCATCTTAGTGGCATTATCGTCTTTTTTGGGGATGAAATGATTAAAAAACTTATTTAAGCCGTCATTGTGCCGCTATGTGTAACTAGTTTCCAAATATAATTCTTGAGCGCCCATACTAAAAACAAATGTATTGATTTTATTGAATTATTCCAAAAGATGTTGAAAAGTTCTCCGTTCGACACCCTTTCCCAAATTTGACCCAATGACTAAACATTAGATACCTTCTTTTAGAAGGACTTTTTTGGTCAAGTCGAGAATTTCTCAACATCTCCTGGTACAATAGGAATATTGCGGATTTAGACCTAAGCTGATCACTTGCAGTAAGAGCTCATTCACTTGGTTTGAAAGAGTGCTTTTATTTCCGTAATACAGTCTGTGTTTCTAAGCTTCTGTTCACCCAGTATTTGGTATGGTTTTCATTGTTAAGCGGGATTCGGATTTTTGGGGGTGGTTGATTGATACTTTGACACACGCTTTCTTAGATTTATCTCCTGGTAATGTGATTTTTTTTATATTTCAACATTTAATATTTTTAAATCTCAATATTGTCAAGATATAATAATCCGGCACCATCTATTTTTTAGGTTATATTATTAAATGTAGATGTAGATTTTATATTACATAATCATGGTCCAAAGTTAAGGAAATGTGAGATAAAGTATCAAAAGTCAAATGCTGACCTTTCTTAGCGAACTAGTAAATCTTAAAGAGTAAAATTCTTATAACTAATAAATTCTTATGACGTTTAAAAGTCTAAAAAATTGTAAGTACATACTATAAAAAGTCTAAAACATTGTATGTATATGATATAAAAAGAAACAATTTTTTTAGTGATCTCCGTCGGAGTTAAAACTTAGCCACTCTATTCCATTATTTGCATGTTTAGCAACTAAGCCATTTTACTCCCGATAAGATGCCATTAGAAAATAAATCAAAACTATATTAAAATATTTGTTAAAAAACGTTAACATAATAATTACCAACTGCATAATTTGACATTAAGTGCTACAGAAAATACAAAGCATACGGCAACATTCGATTCCGTGTGGAAAAAAAATCTCACGCTAACGACTTATAAAACAAACGTGTGATTTGATCACTCTTAACCTTGCACTCGGTTTACATTTAAAATGAAACTGACGAGAGGAAGGCTAAGAGGGAAAAGATTGGAAGATACAGAGAACGGGTGGTAGAAGTTTTTGAATTGATGACTGACAAGTAAAGAAATTAATCAGATATTATGGAGTTGAACTAAGAATTTGTAGCAGTTGTGATAAAAATTAGATAATTATTAATTGTCAAATAGTCTTCATTATGATGGAGTTATTAGGAAGATCGTAACCCTTGACATGAAGATTTCTATAGGTAACAAACAGATTTTTCCTTCTAGTTGTATATATACAGGTAAATACGGGCAATCTTCAGATCCTGATTTTATACCCATCTACAGTAAATCTGAGTGACGGCCCAAGTCAAATTTTTCGGTATAGTATCATGGAAGGCGCAGTCATCAATGAAAGAATTGGTTGGATAACATCAAGTGCTGGACACCAATGACCTTGCCCGATCTACTTTTGACAGCACCTAACAGAGTAGCATTGTAAAAGATGACTGCTTTTTCATTCTTGTCAGTGGAATTCGCAGAGTCAACTGTCAGCTAACTAGAGGCGGTGTTTCTATAAACCACCATGGAGAAGGCAACTGGAAACTACTCCACTACTAATCCCAAGACAAATCACGGTCAACAACTCAGACAATGCGAAACCTAACGGCGTGAAGCGGGTTAAGTCTATGGGAATTAGCTCCTCGCACGTTAAGGACCGACATGCGCAACAGGTGTCACCTGACCGTCATCCAGCGACTGCTAGCATAAACGTCGTAAAAGGGATAAAAGTCCTCGGAACCTATTCTTCACCCGGAAAGGGATGACATGAATGACAGGTGTCACCGGACTTTTATCCTGCGACTGATCGCATCAAACACAAGTTAATTCTCGGGACATGGAAAGTCCGAACATTGAACAACTGCAGCCAGTTTGATAATGTTAAACAAGAGATGAACAAACTTAACATTAACATTCTAGGTGTATATGAAACCAGATGTTCAAACAACGGTGATTTTGTCAGTGACAAACACAGGATAATTTATGCAGGCGGCGAGAAGAATGACAAAGGAGTAGGACTAATACTAAATAGCGCATTTATGAAATGCCTTTTAGGATACCACCAACTTTCCGAAAGAATTCTGGTAGTGAACCTGAAAGGGAACCCTTTCAACGAGGCTATTATAGTAGCGTACGCACCGACGGCACAAAGCGAGGAAGAGGACGTCGAATCTTTCTACTTCATGCTGGACAGTGTCAAAGCTCTATGCAAATCACAGGAAGTCATCATTACCATGGGAAACCTAATCGCTAAAGTAGGCAGGGAAAGGGCAGGAGATACAGCGGGAAGATTAGGACTAGGAACCCGCAACGAACGCGGAGAAAAATGGATCAAATGGTGCACAGCCAATGACCAGATAATAACCAGCACATGGTTCCAAGAACATCCGAGACGACTATGGACATGGAGGAGTCCAGGAAGAGAAACTAAAAACCAAATTGATTATATAACCATCAAAAAAGATTCAGGAATGTAATGATTCACTGCAAAACTTACCCGAGTGAGTGAAACTGCGGAAATTGAAGAAGCCTAACGCTGCATCCAAACTGCAATACAACAAACTCCTGAGCGACCCTAGCCTAAATTGATTTTCCAAGAATAGCTTAGATGTGGCACAAAGCCGAAAGTAGGGGGCACCCAGTGAGAATCAAACTCACTAATCAGTCGTAACTCTTCTAACGAGACAAGTTTGCTAACCATTACACCACCTCGAGGTGCCCAAACCCTAGCTAAAAGAAAAATATATGGACAATGTGAAAAGATACGAGGCACACAATGGAAACTCGAAATGGGACGCACTAAGAGACACTTTAGTGATATTAGCAAATGATATCATCCCAAAGGAAATAGGACAAAGAAGAAAAAACGAATGGATGACTGATGAGATTCTCGACATGATGGAAAGGAGACAGAAAACTCTGCCAAGATACGGCATACAGAAGAAGTACAAAAAATTACACAATGAAATAAAGAGCAAATGCAGGCAAGCTAAAGAAGAGTAGCTAAATGAAAAATGTGCAAAAATAGAAAGATTGAGGACTACCAACAAAAGAAATATGCACAAACAAATAAGATAACTAACAGGACAGAAGACATTTTCGTCAACAGGCTGCCTAAAATCAAAAAATAGAACACTTCAATATTTGGGAAAAATATCAGAATAATCAAGAACCTATACTGGCAGCAAGCAGCATAGAGAACGAGTTCAGCGAATATACAAAAATAGAAAGAGGCATAAGGCAAGGGTGTGTCTTCTCATCGGACTTATTCAGCCTATACAGCAAAGCAATTCTGAGAGGATTGGAAACCCTACCGGAATTTTGCATTGGCGGCCACAATCTTAACAACATAAGATACGCAGATGACACAGTACTGATAGCAGACACAGAAAAGAAATGAAAAAATCTCCTACAGAAGGTAGCGACGGAGAGTGAGAAGAAGGGACTAAGCATAAACTATAAGAAAACAGAATGCATAGTCATCAGTAAAAGAATGAGCCCGAAATGCGATCTGAAGGTCGGGAACACTAGAATCACGCAGATGGACGGTAAGTGCGACACTGAAATCCGTAGACGTATTGGGATGGCCAAGGGCGCATTCCAAAAGCTGGGCAGAGTATTGCGAGACAGGAGAATTTCTTTGGTAACAAAGAAAAGAATACTGAGTTGTTACGTGACATCTGTCCTTCTTTACGGCAGCGAATGTTGGACGATTTCCTCAAAGATGAAGAAGAGACTCGAAGCTAGGGAGATGTAGTTCTACAGAAGGATGCTAAGGATATCATGGACCGAGTGTGTGAGCAACGATGAGGTCTTAGAGAGGTTGCAAACAAGAAGGAGGCTTATACTTAACATCATGAAGAAGCAGATGAATTTTCTGGGACACGTAATGAGGACACGTAATGAGGAAGGAGGGTTTGGAGAATCTGATACTCACGGATCGAATAGCGGGAAAGAGAGACAAGGGAAAACAACGCATGACATACCTGGCGGGTTTTAGATGGATGACAGAACGTGGCCTGGGGAGGTGGTGACAGAGGAGAACTACAAAGGATAGAGGGAGGTGGAGAGCCATGATCGCCTACTTCCTGGAAGGACATGGCACATAAAAAGAAAGTCCCCGACGGCTAACAAAATCATCATCATTTTCTGAGATATTTTATGGAGTCGGATTTTCTCAAGCTCCTCTCAAATACATTTTCTTCAGACAGACAGGGAAATCGACTCTCAAAAATATCGACTCTCTGCATATCATACTCACCCATTTACATCACTGTCGCAAAAATTCTATAAAAAAAAACAGTGAAATATTGGTTGAATGAAGTCATGCTTCCGTAAAACTGAATTTTTCGCAGGCAATCAGTTAACGAATTGATTCTAATGAACACAAAAAATATATTAGTTTGAAAAGCCTTCGCGTACCTTACTGAGTAGCCTCGCGTGCCGCGTACGTCCAGTGGTCCATATTTTGTGCTAGCCTTCTTTAGACACTCAATCGTGTTTTAAGGATTTCTTTCCCCGTATACTATTGGGTGAAATTACTACAAATGTCATTCTTAATGATTGCTTGAAAGTTCACGCAGAATCTAATAATGTTTTCCTATTCACTGGTTATCGTCATTAGAAAAACATACTTTTAAACTAAATTGATGCATATAACTCTCAAAGAAAAGATTAATGGGGGTATCGGCACCACTTGAATGAAAATCAGAAAGCACATCAAAATGTTCAATTCTTATAAAATATTATGTCAGATTTTTTAATAGCTTCCAGCCAATTAGAACAATTCAGCCAAAGTGACTGATTAGATGACAAATGATATTTTATCTATACTTCGGAGTACTTTCTGCTTACTTTGGACTCATTAGTGCTTTTTATTTGGCTCTTTTAATAAGAAAAATAATTATATCTAGAAATAGAAACTGGTAAAAGCAAACAACACATTACAAATATTCTCTTTTTGACATACAGACTTTGACACTGATAAAATCTTTATAAAGTGTTTGTAAACATTGTTTCAAAATTAGCTTACAATATCCTTACATTAGCTTTGACAAAAGGTTTAGTTACCTGTCGACTCATAAAAGTAAATTGAATTAAAGTGAGTTATTTAATGTATTCCTATTCTGATTAAATATAGTTGGTTATTTTAATGTTGACTAAAAATACCTTATTCAGGTCACATAAAGAAACGATCATATAATTTTTATGACAATCACTTTAGGTAAACAAATGTTACTACATTTTAGCCAGGTTTTACACTAAGATCGTCGAGGAAAGTAAGAGAAAACCAACTGACCATTAAAACAGAAAGCATGATTGTCAAAAAATAAAAATAAATGAGACAGCCAAGTTGGGAGTGATGTATCCAGTTAGTCAAATTTCTGCACCTGAATGATTTTGAAATCCCCAATATATCACTTCTAACTTGGCTTGTGGTGAACCATGATTACTTCGGTTCTAACAGGAAATAGCATATAAAAGAAGAATCTGTAATTGGAAATGACTCTATTTCACAGCATATAGTTTAAAACTATTTCTATGTCAGATTTATTAATCTTAAGATATGATATAATTTGTATAGTCAATGATATTGTAAATTTAATTTTTGTCTAATTCATTAGCATGGAATTAATATTGATGAACAGTAGTTGTTTAAGATTTATTACTGATACAGTAATTGTGTCTCAAGGCCGAAAAAAATGGGTTAGACTGGTCAAGGTTGGTCATCACTAGCTATCTTATATCTAGCTAATCGGATTCACGGCCCATTCATTCGTTACAATATACACATTCACTTGCATTATTTGCATTACTCGGACTGTTATCCTCATTTTCATTGCCATATTCACAACGTTTCGGCCGTTGTAAACTCTGGTCTTCTTCGGCCTTCTTCAGGTCTTTATCCAGTGGGCCATGTGTTCTTGAGGAAAAAGTCACTGGATTGAGGAATGACCCTCAAGATCGTTCGACACTCGAGGAAGAAAACCGAGTGATACTGGAGCCTTCCTTTAAGTAGCCAGCCATTCTAGGCCTAGAATCTAACGCCACCCGGGCACAGACGAGTCTGTGGTTCGTATAGTCTAATCAAGTACCTAGATACGTTGATAGATGGCCAACTACGTTCCCACGTCCACATCTCCACCACTGGATGAACGACCAGAAACCAAATTCGCCGATCAGATCAACCAAACTACGATCACCCGACCTCCCGCTAGCCTCCCGCCCCTGTTTAAGTTGGGGTCCAGACTAGGCGCGATGAACCCATCAGGTACGGTCCAAGCTAGCGAAAAACGAGACGCGCTACTCTTGGTCATTAGGCGCATAAACCGCAATGATCCGGAACGAACCACTTTTCACGGCAATATCGGCCACGATCAACCGGCATTCTGCATCCAGCAAGGAGACGCCTCTGGCCAGTCGGACTCTGTAAGCTCAAAGTCGTTAGACAGCACACAAACATCAATGTTGCAAGCAAAAAGTCGCCTGGATCACGGCGACATCCACACCGAACGACAAGAGGTCACGAAGCAAGCGGGTAGCTTTATCTCGATCCCTCAGGCCATTCGCATTATATTTGTGTTGTACGGTAAGAAGTTTGCACTCAGGGTTTTAAGATATATCATAAACACTTATAAGGAAAATGCGATTTTCACAGAGAGTTTTTGTGAAATATATGTCGTTTTTGAGGAAATTTTCAATATCGAAATTTTTTGAACTCGCAGATAGTAGTGGGATTCAAATTTTTTAGGAATTTTTAATGATATGTTAATATAACTCGTTTTTCTAGTTTGCCATTCAACTACAAATATCCAAAAGCATCAATTTACAAAAGCCTAATTTCCAAATTTAGTAAACGTAGGCCAAGCACGCAAAAACTAGTGGCCCTCCACTTAAAAACATCAGTTCAGTTTAAATTTGTTAACCGGTCTGCTAAAGCTTCGTTCTTGTTTGTGTAGAAGCCTCTTCCAATTCAAGATCTCGTGAGAATTGGATAAAATACACATATTGTCAAATGTGGACACACACTGAGTACAGAAAACACCACATTGTTTGTAAAAACTGTACATCCGATAATCCTGAATTTCTATATTATTTAGAATAAGGAATCAAATTAATAATTTGCTCTTCAGGGCTGAGATTTAATACTGATGTTGTTTTGATGTATATTTTCCAGATTCTTGGTGAGAGTGTCAATAAAGTTGTTTTGCGCTGTCATTCTTTTCTTAATGTCCCTTTTTTTTCTATCTTCCACCTCATTATAACACATCATTGACGTCCACACATATGATTCTATTTGTCCTAAACAAGTGGTCATCATATCCAAAAAATATTATTAATAATTGTTACTATTTTTTCTTACTATTAATACTTCTGTCTGGCTTAACATTTCTCTATTTCACATTTTTATATTTCTCAAATATAAACATTTGCCAACAGATTATACGAACTTATCCCACTTGTGGTATACTTTTTCGCAAATGTTTACATGATAAAATAAGGATGCGTGGATTTTTCATTGAGCCCACGTCACTACCGAATTGACACAAGATCGAGATTTAAAGTGGGTTTTACGGCAAAACCGTGGAAAAATTGTTCAAGCCCCTTCGGTACTTCCCATTTTGGGGACGCCCCAGGCACCGGGTTATAGCCCCAGTCCCCTTCAGATGGAGCGGTACTACCTGGAAGGATGCTTCCCCACCTCGGTTTGATCTTAATATTATTTTGAAACTTTCTCGAAGTGCCAGATGAACTTAAATGATAATATAATGAATTTAATGAATTCTGATTTAAACGACCAATACAAAGGAAATGGCTTTTCGATAGTAATATTTGGGCATATTTGTGTTTTAATGAATTCATTTCATAGGAGATTTTAACCATCTAAAAATTAGAATTTGTCCACTTAGCTCTGGTTTCCTCGTGATGTATTGCGTTTTGTATATTTATGTGTGCGTCTGTACATGTGTGCGTCTGTGCGAGTTTAAAATTTTATTGTTATAAAATGTTGTGAACATAGTTTTGCTAAGTCATGGTACAAATTAATACTAGATCGGGCGAATAGTAAGTAGGGCGAATAAAAGGTGAATAAAACAATGCTCATATATGTTCACGTATAATACAAGTTTCATATTCTCGCCAGGTAACGAGTAGGACTACTTCCAACCATAAAAATGAAGTGTCTCCAACGATAAACAAGGAACGATACTTGAACACTAGAAAAAGAAAGAGAAGAAAAAGGAAAAAATACTGACGTCAGTATATGAGAGCGTGTGCCAAAACAGTGTCTAAAAATGCATCTATTGGTAAGTAATAATAATTATAGGAAACTTTTTTTTAATATTGTATATTGTTTCGTTATAAATGTAGCATTTTCTTTTTCATTTTAAACATTAATCTGTTCTTATTTGTTCAGAGATCAGAAATCTGGATATTTTTTCTATACACAAAAAAATAACATCGTGGTAACCTCGTTATTATGTTTATGTGTCGCACAAAAAATACAAGCTTATGTGGGAGTATGAATAAATGAATAGTTGTAAGATCGATGAAGCATCGTGTTATTGCGTGTGTAGCTGATATTGTTAATAGATAATAACTGCATTGGTGATTTTAAAATTCACTTTCTTTACTTATTCTTCTTTTTCATATAATAATTTCTCAGTTTTTTTTTGTTTGTTTGTTTTTTTTTTTTTTTTTTTTTTTGCATATCTGAAAGAATATCGGGTGGAATTAATCGTTTTTGTCAAATTACTGTTTAAGACCTTTGAGATAAATTTTTATCAAATGTTACTTTTTTTTTTTCGTTTTCACTTCCATTCTTCATTATCCACTACAAGGGTAAGAAGGTAAGTTTGATGCTGGGTTGGTGCGCTCCACTTTTCATGCACGCATGCCATGAGGCTGCAAGGGATTTACACAAAATGTAAATGCTGTTCTTCAATATCTTTTTTAAGTTCCAAGGAAATTTTCGGTTTCTGAACTTCTTTGGACTCCCAGATTGATACAATATATTCTCTTCATCCCTCCTATAGGCCCTGTTTCTGTCATATTTATAGTAAAAACCTCTTTTTAATTTTAGTATTTTGTAGTCGTGATTGTTACTGCTTAATCTTTGTTTTTTTTTGGTGGGGGGGTGGCAACGAAAAAAAGTGTAAAAAAGCAGAAAGAAATGAAGAAAATGTTAAAAAAAGAAGTAAAAAACGAAGAAGTGTAATAAAAAAGCTATATTTAAGAAATTTTCTTAAGCTTTTCTGAAAATAAAATTATATTAGAAAGTTTCGCGCTTATTTAATTTGATATCTTTCGTTAATCAATCATTGCTTTATTATTACCCTTCAGTATATACAGTGGCGGAGAGAGTCGGGGACAGCCGGCATAAATGTGCCGGGCCACGAAACCCGAGGGTCCTCAAGAAAATACCTTTAGGGGTTTGGTGGGAGGGCTTCTTTACAAAAAGTAGAGAGCAAAATTACGAATCGGTATTTTACTGAAAAAAAAAAAAAAAAAAAAAAAAACGAAAACTAAAAGCAGTTCCAAAGTTCAGCTTAAAAATGATTCTCGTGCCAAATCACACTCGATAGCAGGTAAAACACGCTCTTTAAAAAGTCTTGTAAGACATGCTAGACCGAGTTTGTTTGTCCCAGCATCTCCTTTTCCGACCGAGGTGGGGGCCTCAAAATAATCTGGGTGCCGGGCCTCGGAAATTCTCTTCCCGGTAATGAGTCTATGATAATAACTTTTTTTTTTTTTTTTTTTTTTTTTGAATGTTGGTTCAAACGACGCGAGAAATATTCATGGGTAACGCTTTAAGCAACCAATTATATCAGAGACGGGATACAATACAAGAAATACATCAAACTTTTAATTCACTCTACTAATGATTTTATAACCCAGCAAATCCTCACGGTATGAAGAAAATGATGGGTCCCTTATATTATTTTATTTTCAGTTTTAAAAATACTAGCATTTAATTTTTTTTTTAACTTAAGTAAAGAAAACCTTAGTGGGCGAAGGTAAAGTAGCAAGGGGTTCAAGTAAGAGAAGATAAAAAAAAAACTTAATCCATTTTAATTTGTTTAGACTTAGATATTTTCTGTTTTACTAAAAAATATAACAAGATATTGATATTATATAAATAATATTAGTTTAATATTTATTGTTCACAAAAAGAGCATCAATATTTTAAAGAAAAGAGAATAATTAAATCCTGATAAACGATTCCATTTATTGTCATGCAGTGATATGAAACGAGAATAACACTTAAACTTTACAAAAAAAGTGATTTTTATTAAGATAAAATTATATAAACTGATGTATACATTTCAATCACTTACAAACTTGGTATGGCCTCTAATAACAACTTGGAGTAAGAAGATCGTTTTCTTTCAGTCTTTTGTGTGGGGATAACCTACACATAAAATATATATAAAAAATGTGCAACTTGCTTTAATCACATCTTATCATTAGGTCATTCTTAGTGCACCCCGTGACGTCAAAATTGACGGCAAGAAGGAATGCATTTAATACAATTTATAGTTCTTACTGTGATCGGTGTCACCCTAAGGAGCAATTCTTTTTGTTGTTCGCCAGGAAAGAAGGTGGTTGCTTTGTACTTAGCTTTTTGCGTGGGAACGTAAAAATGGGACCTTTTGCGCACTGCTCTCAATTGTTACACACACACACAAAATTATATGGCGATGGTTCTTTGAAATGGGACAATTACTGTAACAATTGACGAATATATAACGTGACGCTTTTTTGTATAATTTTTAGCTACCCAGTATTCTTAAAAATTTAGGAAAATATTCTAAGTAATCTAATATTTTATTGAATTTTACATACGTTAGCTTTATAGTCTTACTTACGAAGACGCATGTTGAGGATTGAAAATTATCTAAAATTTTAAAATTTACTATAATTATCGCTCTTATTTTCTGATAATGTCGTGTATGGACGTCTGAATTTACAAAAAATGGCATGATTATAAATACTGGGTCGCTGATTTGTAGTAAGCTTTTCCATGTATGATTAATAAATATAACAATATCATCCAACGGCCACAAATTTAAAAAAATGTAAAACGTTATAAATTATTATAAATAAAAATAAAATGAAAACAATTCTTGTAAAAAGTCATTATTCATCGAAAACATTGTTTTCTTAAGACAATAGTGTCCATCATTTATCTTATTTATAAAAGCAATTAAAAGCTTTTCTAATGAAATAATGTCTTATTTTTATTGCATTTTTGTAACTGGGAGTCCTGTTTGACAAAAAGAAATTTAAATTCTCCAAGGACTTGATCATATAACTAATAAGTATTCAACTCTACAAAAATGAATTTTTCGAAACCTCATAAAATTAAATATGTGAGAAGTAACAGATGTAAAATAAATATTGCCAAATTTTTTTTAAAAAGAAACATTTCTAAAATAATTTAATTCATTTGTGAATAAGTTCCGAAAGTTTCATTAAAATCCGACAATTATCTGATTTTTGCAAGAATTTCCAAATCAATGTGTTTTTCATCGTAAAAATTTCTAATACTAATTTATGGCCACCCGTTGACAGAAGAAAAATAAAATTTTAACCAATATTTTGAAAGTTCTAAAAAGTATTAAAAATATAATTTGATGATAAAAAAATCCGTTGGTCTGTACTCTTAATAGCAACACAAAGATTTTGGTTATAAAACTTCTTGTTAATTAAGTTTTAGGACATTTCTTTTCATCATATATCTTCATTTATAAGCGAATCTTTGAAGGTACTGTATTTTGTCTTTATAATCTTACATAAAAAGACGCTTGTTGAAGAAATGTTAGAAAATTATCAATAAATTATAAATCTATTATAGTTACCGTTCTTATTTTCTGATAATGCCGTGTGTGGACGTACATATTTTTTAAAAAATTGGCACGTTTATGTATCCCCCAAAAATGAAAAATTATTTTTAAAATACTGGGAATCGATGAATTATAGTAATCTTTTCCATTTATTATTATTAAATTTTATAAAATTAAATAATTAGGTGGGGGTGTTTAACAGATGTAAAAAAATATTTTTCTCAAGGTTTTTAAAAATAAAACGTTTTAAAAGTAATTTCATTAAAATTTATGAATAAGTTCAGAAAGTTTCATTAAAATCCGACAATTATGTGATTTTTATAAGAATTTCCAAATGAATGTTTTACACCGTAAAAAGTCTGTAAAATTTCCCATAACACAAAAAATAAAAATTTTAACCGAAATTTTGAAATTTCTAGAAATTATTAAAAATGTACTTTGATAATAATAATTCTTTAGTCTTAATAATAACGTGAAGATTATGACGATAAAACTTAATTTAATAAGTTTCGGACATTTTTCATCTTTTTTAGCGAATCTTTTTTTAGGGCACCTATATATAAGTTTTCAAGGAATATACAGTCGAAAGTTTTCAAATTTTCTCAAACCAACAGCGATTAGTTGAAAATTCCTTTTTGTACCTTGTGATTAGTCTTCTACTATATCCGTCAGTTTTATCATGTATATAAATTTCTTATTTTTTCTAGATTTTATTTTTTGTGGCCTTTTCCTGGAGCCTGTCATTTTGATATATATTTCTATTTTGTGTCAAATTTACAGAGTAAGAGGGTACAGTTTAGGGGAATATTTTAGGAAGATAACGGTCAACCCTAATTTTAAACAGGCTAAGATTGTACTGATCGGGAGAGCATTCTCCACGAAGGCCTTGTACAGGAATATCCGTTCATCGTAATTGGTGATAGCTCTGGGTCTGATCGGCGATGATGCAATGTAAGTAGTTTAGCTTTCGAGGCATTGAATGTGACCAGTCAATTTTTCTCCCACTGAGCATTTACAGGTAGGTCGGAGGAGAGATCGACTGCCAATTTCTTTCGTGCGAGGCTTATATTTTATTTATTTATTATTAGCAGATCTATCCAGCGTTGCCCAGGATTTAAAAAGTTAAAAAATAAATCTATAACAACAATATAACTTCAAATTCCTTTATTCAAACACAAAAATATTTTTAAACAGTTTACATTACAATATTCTTTATCTTTCTTTGTGGAACATAAACAAACAAAATGGTTTTACTTCCCACGCGTAAATAACCAACATTCATACAACTGCCCATGAGAGAAACAGGATTCATCTAACTGTAGTCCAGTAACTGATACAGCTGGTTTTGTGCTTTTTTAATAGTCACAGCAAAACTTACTTGTTGTCAATTTTTAGGAATAAATGGCTGTTTTTATAGTTCTCCGCTAATTTGCTGAAAAATGGCATACCTATAGACTATA